CTTTCTCTCTCTTTCCCCCTCTCCCTCTCTCTCTCTCTCTTTCCCCCTCTCCCTTTCTCTCTTTCTCTTTCCCCCTCTCCCTTTCTCTCTTTCTCTTTCCCCCTCTCCCTTTCTCTCTCTCTTTCCACCGGTTCACCTCAGCGTTTTCACTTTCCGGAATCGCGGCTTCTTTTACGACCGAATGACTCTGAGGGACACAAAGGAAGGCTCCATCCATACATGTATGGAGAGCCTTCCCTTGTGTACCTTCGGACGTTCGGTCACGCCAAGTTGCCCTCGTATATATTGTCGGTCACGCCAAGTTGCCCTCGTATATATTGTCTCTCCTCTGCGCAGCTTCCACTCGTTTATCTTTTCCATCCTCTGGGCTCCCGTGCCACGTCGCTCAAAATCTGCAGTTTTCTTTTCTTTCCTTGTTACCTCACGTCTGCCTGAAGCAGTTTTCATTTTTTTTTGCCGTTTCTGTAGTCTTGCTCCTCCCTCTGCCCCTTCATGTCTCTTTTCGTCTCGTCTTGCTATCCTCCAAAGATCATTAGGTGTCTATATTTCTGCTGTTGTCGTCCATCACTCTCTTCTCTCCGCGACCCTCTTCCTCCTAACAGAACGAACATACGGTCATTACTCCAAATTGGGGGCGGCTTTCAGTCTAGATAGAGCAACAATGACCGTACGTCCTAGTCGGGGGAAGACGGTTGATTCTACGAGAGCTCCGCCTCGGCTTGATCTGAGGTCGTTATTCTTCATGCAGTCTTCTTCTGTCCGTACCACTTTTGGGAGTCACTGTCTCCTCTCTGCTTCTTCTCTTCACCTTCCTCCTCTCCTCCTCTCCTCCTCTCCTCCTCCTGCTCCTTTGTGCCCTGTCTCTCTCTCTGCCTCTATTCAGACTTCCCACTTCGTCCCTCTCCTCCTCTCTTTTCTCCTCCTCTCCTCCTCTCCTCCTGCTCCTGCTGGCTGCTCCCCTTTCCTTCTCTTGCTGTCTCTTCTAACGCCTTGCCTCCTCCTTTGCATCTCTCATTTACGAAGCGACTGTCTTTCCGTTCCGCTTTCGATCGAAATCTTCCGTTTCTTTTAAGGGAAAAAAAAAAACAAAAATCTTTCTTCTCTTCCCGCCAATTCCCGCACTTTCCTCGCGTATCCTGCCTTTTGTGCTTTTTTTCGTTGACGTCCCTTTCCAGTTCATTCTTGGTATGTGTATGTACTCACATGGAATGAAAGAGGACGAGGAGGAATAGGAATGAGGGGGAAAAAATGTCAAATGTCACTGGTAGTCCTAGATCACGAGGCTTGTAAATGGTTATGGGTCCCCTTGCTTTCCCTTAGCTGACCGAAAGCCAACCTGCATGGCTTGCTTTCCACTTACGAATCGGGAAACAAAATGAGACTTTCCCTTGTGACTGCGTGAACAGTTTATTCTGCATGACAGCCATTCGTTGTGTCATTGAAGATTTTGACGTCGTATTTTTCTGCTTCCACGTTGTTTTCTTGCCACGTCATCCTGTTGAGAGGCGAGCCGCGGTGGTGGAGAGGAGAAGCGGGAGGGCCATCGTGAACTGAGGAGGCTACCCCTGTCATCGACACTGGACAGGAATAATGGAGGAAAATGCACCTTGTCTGCAATTCGTGATGTAGATAGAAGTAAACAATGCTGATGAGGGAGAGGGAAGTTATGGGGATCTGAAATCACACGGGCATCCACGCACACGCAGAAGGAGAAAAAGTAAGGCGCATGCGTGAATTGCCACACACACACACACACACACACACACACACACACACACACMGAGAGAGAGAGAGAGAGAGAGAGAGAGAGAGAGAGAGAGAGAGAGAGAGAGAGAGAGAGAGAGAGAGAGAGATTGAATGTCTGCTGAGAGAACGAGATGGTACTGGGGCACTGGCTCAGAATGCCCTTACGTAACTCGAGATGTATTGGGTTTAACGACTCAAATGTGATGTTATATGGTTGATTGTTTTTTTTTCAATTAGTCCGGTATTTGTTCCTTAAATCGGATTTGCCCTCTGTAATTCCAGGTGTATTGGATTTACCGACTCACGTTTGACAGAGTGCCACCTCGGAGAAAGGTCCAGTAACAGGTCTGACTCATCCTGTGAAAAAAATTCAATGGAGGACATTGTTTGCATAATGCGAGATTGGAGATCTGCCAGCATGATTGGGAGGTGGGTTGGGGATATCAGGGCCAGGCTTGGGGGAGTGGGCAGTAGGGATCGAATGGTTTGTTAGGGGGTCAAGAAGAGGGAGGGTGGGGAGGGGGTTGGGTGTGGAAGGATTAGAATCATCCGAGGAGGAGAGGAAGAAGGAGAAAGGAGGAGAGAAAGGAGAGGAAGGAGAGAGAAGAAGAGAAAGGAGAAGAAGGGGAAAGAGAGAAGGAGATAACGAAGGAGAAGGAGAAGAAAAAGAGGTTCAGGTAGGAACCAACGTCAAAAATAGGGGAAGCATTTCCGAGATTCTGCAAATTTTGGATAGGGGGGTTTGTGGACGGACCTAAATGACTCTCTCAATTTTTTATTATTATTGTTTTTATCACTTTATCCATATATTCCAAGATTGCAATCGCGGCCGGGGACCTCACAATTCTGCCCGGAGTTATCCTGGCAGCATCAGCCAGTTTAGCTTATAGTTGTCAAACTGAAAACACTTAAGATTCCCCACTATCGGGTACACACTTATTGATGTGCGCAGATAAAACAAGTCTGAATAGTTGAACCTCTGTTGAGCGAGTCTCCAGCCTTTGTTCCCTACTTCTATTCTACCTTCCCCGACTCTACTAAATCTAATACACAGACCTACAGCCTAACGGTCTGACCCCGGCCTAACTTCGACCGAGCGGAACTCCTGTTCCTTGCTGTCTCCGGACACTCTCCTCCCTACCCTACCCTTTGCGGTCTACTGTGACCGCCAACTGGAACCGAGTGTCCTGGTTCGTCGACAAAATGCACCAGGCCAAAACTTCCAACAAACCATAAAAGGACTAAGGGCCAGATCCCACTAGCCCCTATTGTTCATTTCTGACCGTTGATCTTCGTAATCGAGGGTGAAAAATGAATAATCCAGGGTAGTGGGATCTGACCCTAAGCCCCTTACGTCTGGGCGACTACCTACTAGCCTACTTGCTCCTATTTAACCGCAGCTTTTTCAGGCTCACCTTGACCATTTCTGCCACCAATTGGAAAACCGAAGCCTACCCTCCTCTATTATCCATAGTACTCCATACCACCGCCTCGTTCCGACCCCAATCTAACACAAGGGGCAGAGTATGTCAGAAGCCCAAGCCGAAACACTGTTTCGCAGGTTACTTCAAAATGAGATCCGCGCAGATTGGAGAAGAAAAGCAGACAGTGGGAGAAACAGAGCAGGTGCGAGACTCTCTCAAATTTGGATTGGGGGGGGGTTCCACTTATTTTTTTTATAGTTTTTTTCCTCTTTCGGTTGCCGTACTCAACGTATAATACGGAGAGGAAAAAAACTTGAAAAAATAAAAGTGGAAAAACTGCATACGTATTATACGTAGAGGAAAAAAACTTAAAAAAAGAAAAGTAGAAAAACTGCATCGTCCTCTGGGAAAGCTGTTCCGAATTGCGGCAAGGATTTTTTTATGTATGTTTTTTAAACCACTGCAGTACTTCGTGCAAGGAAAATGAACAATAGCGAGATGACAATATTCAGATTGCACAATCACATTGAAAGTCAGATAGTATCACAGTGTTCAGAAAGCAGCATTGCACCAATATGACACCAATGAAGAATCGTAGCACTGAAAACCAATGTCAATGAGAGCTTGCTCTCGCCACCACCAACATATGTATCTAGTCCCTATCTCCCCACTTGGCGCTCGGCGCCCAGCCTACTCCCTACACAGCTACCACTAGCCTACTAATTGACAATGCAACTGTTGACGTCAGCAGCTTCCAAAGTACTTGAAGATGTCGCCCATGCAGACCATCGCTAAGACCAGGTATGTGCCCTCACATCATCATCATCATCATTTTTCTCTCTCTCTTCCTCATGTTACTCCCCACGTCTTCCCTTTGTACACCCGAAGACCACCCCTGCGCCTCACTGTAGCCCAAGCCCGCCAGCTATGGTCGCTGGGCTATGGCACTGCCCTCAGCAGCTCGCTCCTCCTTCACACGACCGCACGTGCGCACGCCTTGCCGTTCAGCGCCTATAGCAGCCCGGGAGCGCTTGCTCCAGCAGAGCTGCCGCTAGGCATGCAAGTGTGTGAATGAGGCTGCCCATGGCGAGCTCTTTCCTATATGGAGCCCCAGCCTGGCTGGACTGGCCTGGGCCCAGAAGCTTCCGGTAGGACCCAGGATGCTGCGCTTGTCACGCAGCTACTGGGCCTCTTTCGGTTGGGCCTCCCAACTGTCGGTGTATGAGGCTGCGATTCTCGCCCAGGGCCTGCATCCTCCGAAAGGCCCAGAAGGCTGTGGACTATCTTTGTTGCTCGGCCTGGGTTTCCTTTCAACCAACTGGCGCGTCACAACTGCCAGGACCCCCAAATTCGAATATGACAGCTGAGGGCCTCTCGTGATTTGTTAGGCCCGCCTTCACTTAGGGCGGGCATGTATGCAACAGGGGGCCCTTAGGCTTGCCGAGGACCCAGATCCTCGCATTCGTAAAGTCGTGCCCGTTAACGTGCCACGATTTTAGGAACGTACGGGCCACTACAGGAGCGCCCAAATTCATCCAACTAGAAACGTTTCTACTCTACTTTTTTTCGGCAGCCATTAGCTGGGCCAAGTACTGGTGGTTTAAGCAAAGGACGGTTTTAAGAGAACTGACTCTATGCCACGTTTTGAGGAGAATATGTTGTGACGTGTGCATTTTCCACTCAGATTGTTTTTTTTTTCCTTTTCTTTTTTTTTAATTCACGTTTCACTATCTACCTGCCACAGCTCCTCTTAAGCCTATACAGGGTATCCCTGCAAGCATAGCTTACCTCCTACGATTAAGGGGATACATGTTTGCCCTGCCCTAAGTGGTGCAAGCCTATAAGGGGGTACATGTTGCTCATGTCTTAATGGCAGTGGGCAGGGGGTCGAGTGGAGCCACCAGGGGTCCGGCTAACACAAAGACTGAGCAATTTGCCAGTAGCTGAGCCTCCCATCTAGTTCCCCCACCCCCCATGAAGTAGCAGCGGTGACTTTGGACAGGCTATGGCCCACACTCTCCCACACACCACACACAACCCACTCAGGCTGACACTCACACCCCCGTGTTCGTCATATGACCCTACTAATACCGATCAGGGGGATCAAGCGGACTATCACAGTCGGCTTTCTTTCTTTTTTTTTCGTTCTTACTTTTTTCTTTCTTTCTTTCTGTTTTCAAGCCAAATGTCAAGGAAACCTCTATCTTGGTACCCTGTATTTGACGCATGGGGTAAAAAGCTATCGTGACTGTGTCTGCTGTTGTCGTTTGGCAGGACGTCTGCGGTCTATGAGATAGAAGGCAGGTATTGATGACAGAAGCGTATCACTAACCTCAGAATTAAGGCCTTTCATATGACGTTTTTGGGGAAGAAAGAACAGAAGAAAGAGGAAAAAGAGGAAAGAAAGGGAAGAAAGGGAAAAGGGAAAAGGAAAAAAAAGAAAGAGAAGGAAAGGAAAACGAAAAGAGTTAAGAAAAAAAAAGAGAAGAAGAGGACGGGGGGACAGCTAAGACACTTTATGAGAAGATTGAATCGAAGGTCTGGGTTCGATACCCGTTTCCATCAGTGCGCAGGTGGCTAGGCCTAGCTTTGTTGGTGCAGCCATGGACTGTTTAAATACAGACCGGACTTCGAATCAAGATGAGACCAGATGAACAGAATAAAATAATTTTGGATTATCTGTCGTTGTTCCCCCTTTTTTTGTTTTTTTTTGTTTTTGAAGTCGCTGCTGTCAGTTTTGGTGGCCCGAGGATGGCCAAGACCAGAACGATGTTTCGTCTGTCTGCTGGGGTGAGCTGCGCCAGCCTGTAACCTGTAGCTGTGCAGAGCATGGGGCCTGGTAGAGAGACCTGGGGAAGCGGCATGCGTCATGTGGGGCGAGGTCCCACTACCTTCTTCCCCCGAATACAATGTACGGTCATTATAGAGCTGTATTCGGGGGACGAAGCTAGCAAAGAGGATTGGATTGATCACCTGAATCTGGATGGGTTTTAAGCAGTGATGCAGAAAATAAGATCAATCCCGATTTTCTGCATCTCTCCACAAACGCGTCCAGATTCAGGCACTCAATCCAATCCTCTTTGCTAATGGGGCCTCGCCCTGGCGCGCTCTTGTATGTGGTGGGAAGCCCTGCTTAGGTGCTACTGTAACGGGTATGGGTTTTTTTTTGTGTGTGTGTGAATATTCTGTGATTGAACTTTAGTCAGGACCAAAAAAAAATAAAAAAATTGAGGCAGGACCAACTTCGCTGACATTCATGTGATCGAATTCTAGTGGGAACAAACCAGCCTCGCTCAGTTGGTACACCTAATTAGTAATTATTATTCAAATATATATATATTGACCTGAGATCGAATCCCAACGGAGTTTACCATCTATGCTGACATCCAGCCATGGCATCGATTAGGATGCCTATCAGGGCGGAGAACCTGGATTTACGCAGAAAAGAAAAGTACAATTGAAAATGAAGGAGAGATCCTGAATATTCTTAGTTTACTCTCTCAAGGCGTGAACTCTGAATACCAATGATGGAAAATAATGACGAGATATAATTGCAAGAGTGCTTGGCTGCGCACACGAGTGTTTGTTTTGGTAATTTATGTATGAATTTATTTAGGTTCGATTGAATCGATACTGAATAAAGTTGTCATCGTGTGCCCAACGAGTTTGGCAGATCTGCATCGCTAACAGGATTCTATCTCATCCATACCCCTGTGTTTGTGTGTGTGTTTGTGTGTGTGTTTGTGTGTGTGTGTGTGTGTGTGTGTGTGTGTGTGTGTGTGTCTGTGTGTGTGTGTGTGTGAGAGAGAGAGAGAGAGAGAGAGAGAGAGAGAGAGAGAGAGAGAGAGAGAGAGAGAGAGAGAGAGAGAGAGAGAGAGAGAGAGAGGGGTTCCCAATGGCACACTAATCTGGTGATAGGGTATGGATGAGATAGAATCCTGTTCGCGATGCAAGCGACCTGGCTCAGTTTGTTAGGCGTGCAAGTGGCATTCAGGAGGTTGTGGGTTTAATCTCCACTGACCACCTGGGCATGCTTAGTGCCAACCAACTGAGATAGTTTGCGTGCTCCACCCGGTCGGTATTGGTAGGGTCTTTGGCCATCACGGGTGTCGGGTGTGTGTGCGTGTGTGTGTGGGGTTGTGTGTGGTGTGTGAGTTCTGGCCATAGAAATCCTGTGCCTTGCGTGCGTGAGTGTTTGTTTTGGTAATTTATTTATGAATTTATTTATTTTGCTGAAAGACTTTTGTACTTGTCTATTGACCAGAATTCTGCTGGTTCTTGATGAACTGCAGGTCGATACTGAATAAAGTTGTCATCATGTGCCCAACGAGTTCGGCAGATCTCCTGATGCCGCTGTTTTTTGGAGCTGTCAATCCGTCGGCGGCTATGGCTATCAGAAGGCGCATACACTTTCGTGGAGAGAGAAGTCAAATCAACCCTCTTTACTCAGCTATCTAACCTTGACGGGTTGATCCATTGCATCTTTGCGCAGAACGGAAATGGTGCTGTCATGTCTGGTCTCCATGGAACAGGACCGTGCAGCAGCAGGATTGCAATGGAGGAATGTGATGGGACAAACATGGAGAGAAGAGGATGGGTCAAGACAGGGAAAGAAGAATAAGGGCTTCCTTCCACTATTTGCGAAATGTGGAAATATAGAGTTTGCCTTGGAGGGGAAGGTGTGGCAAGACGCTCTCCCCATCTTCACGATTGGCGGCTGGTGGAACGAGGCCCCATGTGGAGAGAGTAGTGAGTGCCAAGGGGGCACAGCCGTAGTGCAGTTTCGTTTGCAGGCGGGTGTTATGGTCGACAGGCATGGCTCCACTTCAACACCCTGATGTGAGGAAAAACATGGAGAAGAGGATGGGTCTAGACAGGGAAAGAAGAATAAGGGATTCCTTAATTTCCTTCCACTATTTGCGAAATGTGGAAATGGTCGACAGGCACGGCTCCACTTCGACCCCGCTAAATATGCTGCGACTGCTTCTCAGGAAGTTCGAATATTTCTCTGAGTGCAGACAGTCCATGCTTCAAACAGGTCAGGTTCGATGTTTCTAACTATTTGAACCAGGACACGAATATGTCGAATAGTGTAACATATTAAAATTAACTGGTGCCCACAGGCCGTGGTGGTGCACGGCACTCTAAGCCCACTTTTTAAATGTGATTGTGGTGCTGCTGGATGCGTAGTGCACAAAGGGAATTGCAGACTGCAGGGTTGGTCTTCCTTCTCCAAGTGCTGGATGTTCATACGTTTCGAGAGTCTTCGGAGAGTAGTCTTCCCTTGAGGAGACAGCTGAAGAAGGTGGGGAAAGGGGTGGGGGATCATGTTCGTAAGAGATGGTCGTGGGATTTGTGTCTTGAAAGCTGAAGTTGTTGGGAAGGTGATAACGAAGGTTCCAGCAGTGAGAGAGAGAGAGAGAGAGAGAGAGAGAGAGAGAGAGAGAGAGAGAGAGAGATGCCAGTGTACATGTTATATTTTATCAAATGTGGAAACAGAATAAACAAAGGTGAAAGGGAATAGCCCTGGCTGTGCAAAAGTGAAATGACTTACTTGGCATCGAGTACTTGTTGTGCTCAGCAAGAAACGAAATTCGTGTCTGAAATAACAGGTGGGGGTGGAGAGAGAGAGAGAGAGAGAGAGAGAGAGAGAGAGAGAGAGAGAGAGAGAGAGAGAGAGAGAGAGAGAGAGAGAGAGAGAGGGCATTTTATGCATGAGCTTCGCAGCAAGACAAACAGGCGATAGAGCATGAGGATAGTGAAAGAGGAACCACATGTTGATAAACTGTGCAGACGAGAGGGTTCACTGCAACAGTATGTGTGTGTGTGGACGTGTGCAAAGGACATTAGTTATTGGTTCTTCTGATGTATGTCAGTGTTCGACTGTGGTGGTAGAATGGAGGACGTTAGTTATTGGATGTTCTGATGATCACCCCAGTCTGGCATATGGCACTGTGGTATCATTTTATTCTGTAGTAGAGAGGGTAGAACACAACTGTCACACACTGATGCTTGAGGGTTCGATTTCATACACATGCATAACCTACAGTCATACATGTACACAGCCTACGGGAATATACACTTCACAGACATATATACAGTCTAGGGGCACACTGACGTAGTACACGGCCCGTGAGTCTGGTTGCTAGTACAAAACATTAACGACAGTGTGAGGAGGAAAGTCTGGTCTCTGCTAGGAGTGTTATAGACTACCTTCTTCCCCCGAATACAACGTACGGTCATTATAGCTGTATTTGAGGAATCTTTCAGCCTAGATACAGCTATAATGACCGTGCGTTGTATTCGGGGGAAGAAGGTAGGGTCTGGGCTTGGGGGGGATATCAGATACGGTTGGTGATATGCTTGGTAGGGATTAAGGTAGTATGTTGGACTGGTGGAGACAGCTTGAGCCTGGTGTGTGACAGGGCTCAACAGATCATGCTTCAATTAGGGCTGGGTAGGGTCACGATCTGCTTAGCCCTGGTGCCAATAACTGGTGTTCTGTCGAACTCACCCCCAGGGGAGGAGGGGTGATGGTCCTGAGTGATTAACACTGAGGTAGGATAGTGGGAATAGGGATGTGCTAGGAGAATTGACGAGAGGAGGGTAGGGTGGGGGTCCCACAAACAAATAGTCAGGACAACTAATAGCTGATTGGATTAGGTGCTCCTATTACAGTAACCACCATAAGTCTGGATCCTGACTGCGCCAATTTGTGTGTGTGTGTGTATTGCCACGTTCGCCCTACAGAGCTCCACAGGGAAAGTGCGACTGCGCTGATGTGTGTGTATATTGCCATGTTCGCTGTACAGAGCTCCAAAGGGAAAGCGTGACTGCGCCAGACTGTTGTGTCGGACTTTGACCGGCCCCTGTGTTTGTGTGTGTGTGTGTGTGTGTGTGTGTGTGTGTGTGTGTGTGTGTGTGTTTGTGTGTGTGTGTGTGTGTGTGAGCTAGGGGGTCCCAATGGCACACCAATCTGGTGATAGGGTATGGATGAGATAGAATCCTGTTAGCGATGCAAGCGACCTAGCTCAGTTGGTTAGGCATGCAAGTGGCATTCAGGAGGTTCTGGGTTTAATCCCCACTGACCACCTGGGCAGGTTTAGTGCCAACCAACTGAGATAGTTTGCGTGCTCCACTTGGTCGGTATTGGTAGGGTCTTTGTCCATCACGGGTGTGTGTCCGTGAGTGTGTGGGGTTGTGTGTGGTGTGTGAGTTCTCGCCATAGACACTGCTGTTACTCGATGGGGGCGGTGGAAGTGGATGGGACGCGCAGCTACTGGCAAAATGCTTGGTCTGTGTGTTAGCCGCTCCCCCCCACAGGGGCGGTGGAAGTGGATGGGATGCGCAGCTACTGGCAAAATGCTTGGTCTGTGCGTTAGCTGCTCCCCCCCACAGGCACTGTGCGTTAGCCGCTCCCCCCCACAGGCACCATGCTACTCCCTGAATGGCCCCCACCACCAGTGTCCCCACCCTACTCCCTGACCACCGCCGATTAGGGGGGGGGGGCAACATGCATCCCTTGATTGTGAGAGGTAGCTATGGTTGCAGGTGTCCCCAGTATAGGTTTAGGAGTAGTGGTAGGTAGGTAGTGAGAGGTGCAATTGAGAGAAGAAATGGCATAGTGTTCTACTGAAAACAAAATGAAAACAAAAAAAATCATGTTCGCCCGGACCAAACCAGACACATGAGTGTATAAAGACTCGTCCATTTTCTGAAGTTCTGGCCTATGTGCCCATCTTCCCCAAGCTGCTGTGTAGGATTTTCTGAAAAAAGAATAAGTGAAACAGTAGTAACCCGACCAATGTAACAAAAGCATAATGGAAGTCCCAGTTCGAAAAAAAAAAAAGAAAAAAAAAAAAAAAAAAAAAGAAAAGAAATGCTTGTCAAAATCAACAAATGTGTTTTTCTGCAATCTTCAAGGCCTTGATAAGTGACGTTACATTGTCGAGGATATAGCGTTCTGGAATAAACCCCACTTGGTCTGGGTGGAAGCATTTGCCTGTTAGGGTTGGAGAAAAAAATAGCAGCGTAACAGCGGTAGACCCAAAACTAAGCAATGGCAACACAGCCACAGCAATTCGTTGCAGCAGGCCTTCGGGGAAAAAAGAAACTACAAGCAACAACATTTTTTCCACTGTAACAGTTCGAACCTGCAACATCAGTGTGTCAGTTACGGCCATGAGCCTCGCTCTACTACTGCGGCTCAACTAGGTGCCCTGAGTCTCCGACAGGGCCGCATTTACAAGCGAGGGTCGCCTTACAGGTAAGTCCTCGTCTTTCCTAAACCGATCCGCCTCTTCGCTGACACTTTCTCACCTCTTTAGCCCAATGCATCGGGTTAGGAGCTCCAACTAGGCGTACGTAGATTAGAAGTGGCGAAGGAAAAATGTGCTACCTTTGCCAATAACCGTGATTGTAATCAAGGAACTGGCCTGAAGCAAAATGCGAGGAAGCGGATCTAACCGCGAAGCTGAAGATGGCAGTGATGTTGGTGGCCATGCAGAGCTGCAACCTCAATCACAAGGATTGTGGTGACGAAGCATAGTAGGCGGCATTGCACTTGGAAGCAGGCGATCACCAGCATGGGTGAAACTTCAGATCCACAACCACTTTCTGCTCTGGGCTGATCCCTTAGCTCAGCACCGTGCTTCACTCCCCCCAGCTCTCCTCCAACGTAGAAATCCACTTTTTTTCTCTCTCTCTCTCTCCCTTTCCGTATTCAATCTCCTTCCTTCCTTCCTATTCAAATGTACCTCATTGTAATACTACACAAGTGCATCCAACCTTCTCCTACGACCTTTCTTCCCCTTGGTGTCCTCTTTAACCCCCTTCTCCTTACTCCCCCTTCTCCTTACTCCCCCTCTGCACGCTCCCTCCTTGCCTCTCAGCTTATCTCCTTCCTCCTACTCACCTCACGTCTCAACCTCCTCCACGTACGAATTCGCTTCTCTGAACTCCCCTCTCTCAACCTCGCCCAACTGCTAATTGCACTGGGTCTTTACGCAGAGTCAGGTTCCTTTTTTATATCTGAACCTGAATAGCGATCATAACCACATCAATTTGAGGACCGCTCGAACAATTACGGCGACAGTCACGAGCGCACGCCTCTGCGATCGTGACTGGAAACCACCGTAACGAAGTTTGATGCCGGCAAGCTGTGGGACCGATGGAGACAACCGTGATATCAAATGACCGTGGGTGATTTGTAGTCCTCGCACCTCTACCTACCTAAACACGCAAGATGATAATGAATATTTCGCTAGAACATGGGGAGATACACTGTAACAAAGCGTCCAACGTAGCTCGGTATCATAGCTCGACCTCTGGTTCGCTCCGCATAGCCAACTCTTGACTAACACGCCCTCTCTCTTTCTCTTTTTTCTCTCTTTCACTCTCTCTCTTTCTCTCTTGCATTCGCGTTCGCTCGCTTCCCGATGTGGTCGGCTAGCCTCCTGGTCAGATTCACTCAGCTCCTAACAACGAGACAGGGTCAGCCGGCGCTGAGTGCGAAAAACAGTTCGAATGGGACGCCCAGCTTTGGTCAGCACGATAACGACTACCACAATGACGAACGCAACCGTCAATGGCCTCGATTAGGGACGAGCGTGAAGATCGATGCACAGATGCCCGCCTCAACCTCGAGGATGGTCACTACCGGCAAGCTTGTCCTCCTTACTATCATTTTGGCGCCTTGCTAATCTTCTCTGTATCGTTACAATTTTAACAAATGTCCTGAAGGACTCGGCAGTGAGCCGCGACCTTCGAACAGCAGTGGCAGATAGGCCCTGCGTAATTCAAAGTCTATACTTCAACAGTTCATAGGGGTTCCAACTGAGATAGGCCCGTCGGTCACAGGGTCGGTCTCGGGATCAGCATTGGGACAGATCCCCCAAAAAACTAAAAATAAAATAAAATAAATTAAATTTAACAATACGGTAAAAATAAAATAAAATGAAAAATAAAAGGGAAGGAAATGGGATTGGGAAAGAGAGGGGAACTACCGTCACCCCTTTGGTCCGACCAATTGGGTTCGCTGTTGAGGTTGGCAGCAAAACCCGAGGGGGATAGCACCACTGAGCCCTCAACCTCAGTTTCCTTCAAGATGCTCCTTCGCTCCTCGGTCGCCGCTCGCTGGCCTGGATCCTTGACTCTACTGCATAGAAGTTTGACACCGTAACCAATAGTGTTATGCCCAAGGTTGGCATTAGCACTAGTGGGAACTCGTAAACGGGTTCTACCTACTGTGCAGTCTTAACGAAATGCCCCAAAGTCATGCCTTGGCCTATCGGAAGGGTGTCGGACCACCAACATTGGCGCTTTTACCGTGCGGAAAACGAGGCTCTACCCACGGCCTGCGAGCACATTCGGCCAAACAAAAAACTGAGTTTTTTATGTAAAATTTTAATCGAAATTAAACTTTTCAATCACGGATATTGACCCTCCGTACATGAGAAAGGATCACCCGCGCCTTAAACTCGTGCGCCCACATTCACTCGAATCTCATCTTGCGTGTGCTTGTTGTCCACCTACAGAGAGTTGGTCGCAGGCCGATATTAAGTGAATATTTACCTTTTATACCATCTAAGATGTCACTTGTGAAAACTGCGAGAATACGTGTGAACACCCTTGTAATTCACACTGACATCGTGCAATAAAAAGTGAGAATAAAAGATAGTAAGGGTTGCATTACTACGCGGACCTCAATTTTTATTTCTTCGTAGCATGTGACAGATCTGTTTTGATTGATATATAAGCTTCACTGAAAATAGTGAATTATACCTTAAAAAACAGTAAGTTGTATCAATAAGTTATAGAGAATAAGTTATATATAMAATCAGTTATATTTATTTGTATAGTTAGATTGATGTATATTTAATGATTGATATAGCCAATAAAAAAAGTCAAGAAAAACACAAATATTTTTTTTTCAGGCTTGCTATGTTCTGAAAAAGCACAATTGGCCACATACTTAATATTTGAGTGTAGACAATACCCATATTTGTTTTGGTTGACGATGTAATACTATTAGATAATGATTGATGATCATGTTTCTTTGATTATTGTGGAACTATTATCGTTTCCTTATTATTGATATTTGGCAAAGATTGAGACTAACAATTTTAAATGTTTTTTTTTTTTTTTTTTTTTTTTTTTTGGGTAGCTAAAACAATGACAATTCATTTATCTATGATGAAATTTCCTCACAATGTCGTTCTCCAAATCACACAATTAACACGAGGTTCATTTTAGCGGCATTGTCTTGCAGTCATACGATCGAAAAATGTCAGATTCATGCATCCATGTCGGCATTCGGGCGGGGCCGAACGTTGACACCCGAACGTCCGAACGTTCCGGCTTCCCTATAAAAAGTTCGGTCGTTTGGGCCGAGCGGGGACCTAAAAAAAACAATTAAAAACCCAAAATAATTGAAAATATATATATGTTATGCAGAAACATACATTAAATATCATTTATTTAATTGTCACATGTAATTTTTTACCGAATTTAAAATAAAAATAAAATAATAAAAAATGAAGAAATTTAAAATTGGTGTATGGGTGGACATGTTTTAAACAACGCAATATGTGGTGATTTTTTTTTTTTTTTTTTGCTTATTCAAATGCCCTGAAAATTCATTGATG